TCCATTTATATGAAGAACAAAAAGAGGCAAAATGAATCTATGCTCTCAGAGATCAGAAAAGTAATTTTACTTGAGGGGTAATAGCAGTGACTAAAATGGGGTCCAAGGACTTTATGGGATGCTGGTAATTCATGTTCTGGTTTCATGGCGATGTTCAGTTTGTGAAAACTCCTCAAGTCGTAAACCTATTTGTGCACATTTTAATACATATCTTATATTTCCCAAAAGGTTAACAAAAGAAGACTCCTGCCTGACTCTTTCTCCCCCATGACTCCCACACGTGGGCATGCTGCCTAATTTCAGTGCAGCCCGTCTCTCCCACTGCCATAGGCTGTCTTCAACTCAGGTTCTAGTCCTGCCTCCCCAGCCACAGGGAACACACAGCAACATCTTTAAGGAGCCTCATTAATGCCTCCCCTCATGAAGCTCAAAGTTAGAGGGCAGCTCTCTCCTTCCTCCCATCCCGGGGGTGGGAATACTCATAGCCTGGCAATAGTAATCTCCAAAAAAATCCTCTGCACAAATCCTCCTTCTCTCTCCCTCTCTTGATCCCTTTATAATCAAAATTGTTGAGGGCATTCGAGATTCTCAAAGCATGTCTTTTGTAAACTCTGCCTCTGTGCGCCTGTCCACACTCATTTTGAAATATAATGTCTTTCATAGTGGTGCAAACCAGCATCAAGATGGTCCCATTTTAATATCTTGTTATGTAGGTAAATAATAAATCCATCCACAATAATGACTTAATGTATTCACATAGTGCTTGGAGTCTATAAAGATAATGCAGATCTGTTACCTTGCTTAATTTTCACAGCAACCCTCTGAGGTATGTTTTCATTACTTTCATGTTACATGTGAGAGCATATATCCTGTTAAAGCCTTGTGCTGGGTATTTCACATGGCTATTTTATTTGACTTTCACAAGAACCATCAGAAGTAGATATTATCATCCAAGGTCCAGAGAGATAAAATAACCTAACTCAACAACCTAACTCCAAATCAAGTAATAGCTTTGGTGAGGTGACCTGCCTTGCCTGAGGTCACACATGAGGACTCTGGGATCCCAGGCTAGATGTTCTGACTCCAGATTTGTTCTCGCCCCCTCTCCCCCCATCAAGGGAAGACCAAGGTGGGGAATGTACCAAAGCAGAGAGAGAAGAAACTGGGAAATGTCTACCCGCTGTCCTAGAATGAGAGCTTTGGAAGAGACAAGTTTGGGTTTGAATGGCAAACCTACTGCTTGATTTGAGTTAGGTTATTTCATCTCTCTGGACCTTGGATGACAGAATCTACTTCTCATGGTTCCTGTGAAAATCAAATAAAATAGCAGTGTGAAATGCCGAGCACACAATATTCTTCTCTTAAAGAATACTGCTTTTCTTCTCCCTTTGTACAAAGTTCTCCCATCTAAGGAAGGGTAGATAGGGAGGGACAATAAATATTAACAAAAGGGAGGGATTGCTGGGTCATCTGGTAGTCCTATTTTTAGTGTTTTGAGGAACCTCCATACTGTTTTCCACAGTGGCTGCAGCAAACTGCATTCCCACCAATGGCGTACAAGGATTCCTTTTTCTCCACATCCTCGCCAACATTTGTTATTTGTGGTCTTTGTGATGATAGCCTTTCTGACAGGTATGAGGTGATAGCTCACTGCGGTTTTGATTGGCATTTCTCTGATGATTAACAATGTTGAGCATCTTTTTTGTGTGCCTGTGGACCATCTGTATGTCTGTTTTGGAAAAATGTCCATTCAGGTCTTCCGCCCATTTTTTAAAAAATTGAAGTATAGTTGATTTACAACGTTGTGTTAGTTTCTGATGTATAGCATAGTGATTCAGTTATACATATATATTCTTTTTCATACTCTTTTTCATTATAGGCATCTGCCCATTTTTTAATCAAGTTGTTTGGTTTTTTGATGTTCAATTGTGTGAACTGATTATGTATTTTGGATATTAACCCCTTATTAATTATATCATTTGCAAATATTTTCTTCTATTCAGTAGGTTGTCTTTTTGATTTGTTGATAATTTCCTTCGCTGTGCAAAAACTTTTAAGCTTAATTAGGTCCCATTTGTTTATTTTTGCTTTTGTTTCCTTTGCCTTAGGAGACAGATCAAAAAAAAAATGTTGCTACGATTTATGTCAAAGAGTGTTCTGCCTATGTTTTCTTATTCCACTCCTGGGCATATATCCAAAGAAAATGAAAATACTAATTTGAAAAGATACATGCACCCCAATGTTCATAGCAGCATTATTTACAATTGCCAAGATATGGAAGCAATCTAAGTGTCCATCAACAGATGAATGGAGAAAGAAGATGTGGTATATATACAATAAAATACTATTCTGTCATAAAAATGAATAAAATTTTGCCATTTGCAACAACATGGATAGACCTGGAGGGTATTATGTTACATGAAATAAGTCAGACAAAGACAAATACTATATGATATCATTTATATGTAGGATCTAAAAAATACAACAAACTGGTGAATATAACAAAACAGAAACAGACTCACAGATATAGAGAATAAGCTAGTGGTTACCAGTGGCGAGAGGTAAGGGGGCAGGGAAAGACAGGGGTAGGGTATTAGGAGGTACAAACTACCACATATAAAATAAATAAGCTATAAGGATACATTGTGCAATGCAGGGAATATAGCCAATATTTTATAATAACTAACAATGGAGCATAATCTTTAAAAATTATGAATCACTACGTTGTATACCTGAAACTTACATAATGTTGTCAATCAGCTATAACTTAATTTTTTAAAAAAGGAAAAAAAGAGAGGAAGGTTCTATGTAGCTGATATGGCTTGTGGTGGTGCATTGGGCAGAGTGAGATTATAAAGTGTGGCCCCTCATCAAGTCAGGGCAGAATTTATTCCTCCATAACACTTTGGTCTGTTTAGTACTTGGAATGAACAGTTTAACCCAAATTGCAAAACTAGGCTACAGTCCAAGTTCTAGTACCCAGTAGCCAGGTGTCTGGAGTAAGGGAGGTAGGTAAACTGAAAGAACCTGAAACCACAGATAAGGCTTTTCATGTCAGAAGTTGGAAATTATTCTATGACAGAATCAGGAAAACCAGCCAACGGATTCTCCCCACCTTTATCTCCTTTTAAGCATATCCAGCGTTTTTTCGTATTTGCAGTAGTTCAGAATATCACAATAGAGCAGACACTGTTGGTTATCTACTCAAATCCATTTCTGCTTCTGGAATCATCTTCTATGGCCAAGTGTTCAAGGAAAGTAATCCCCACCCCCTACTCCCAGACAATTAGGGTGACTTCATTACTTTTATCTGCGGTGGGGTTAGGCATAGGTATAAGATCCAAACTTGGCCAATGAAATCTGAGGGGAAGTCTCCTAGGGAGAATTCTGGGAAAGTTTTGCTCATTCTTAGAAAGGAACACAAGACAGGAAACATCTCCACTTTTTTTGCTACCCCACTCTATGCTATTTTGTAAGGATGTGATGCCTGAAGCTGCTGCAGCCATCTTGTGATCATGAGGCACAAATGTGAAGAGAAAACCCAACATACTAAAAATAGGGAAATAGGAATTTAAAAAAAAATAACACCTGAGTCCTCGGTAATATTCCACCACTGAATTAGGCAACTCTGGAACGACCTACCTCCAGACATATTATATGAATTAATAAATGCCATTATTTTAAAGTCAGTTTTACCCAAGTATTCTCTCCTTGCAACCAAAAGTATTCTAACCAAAACAGCCAACGGTTTAGTACCATATTGTTCTTTATAACATGACTAATACTCATTTATTAGATGATGTAGCCGAACAGGTACCAATCAGAGGGGAGAGAACACAGGGTTCTAGTGCAGGAAAAGACAAATCAGGTACTAGACACAGAGTGAATAGGTGACCAAAAAGGGATGAAAAGATGGAGGGAATGCTCTTCACCAGATTGTAGATGGAGTTAAAAGTAAGCTATACATGCCTAAATGTCCATCAACAGATGACTGGATAAAGAAGATGTGGTATATTTATACAATGGAATACTACTCAGCCATAAAAACCGACAACATAACACATTTGCAACAACATGGATGATCCTGGAGAATGGCATTCTAAGTGAGTAAGCCAGAAAGAGAAAGGAAAATACTATATGAGATCGCTCATATGTGGAATCTAAAAACAAAAACAAAACCAAAGCATAAATACAAAACAGAAATAGACTCATAGACATAGAATATAAACTTGTGGTTGCCAAGGGGGCG